GATAATTCTAATTTAATTTCAGAAGAGAGTTCCAAGATGTCCCGAAAGAAATTCTGAGAAGGACACCCAGCAAATATATTCTAATGGCATCTCAAGAAGAATATTGACAGGATTGAACAGAATTTCAAGATGTTTTCAAGGTGGATTAATTAACATTTATATGGAGAATTAAATCGAATTTATTATAGAATTACTATCTTTCATAATTCAATAAACAATCCGTAAATTAAAAAAAAAAATAATTAAAAATTCGATATTTTAAGATTCTGCATGTAATTTCTGAACTGTAACAAAGACAATTTCAAGTGAATCTCAGAGTGAAATGAATTTTCAAAGAAACTTTGTGAATGCATTTTGTTTATTGTTGCCAATTGATTTTCTCTGTCAGTCACTGCGGCCGGCACTGCGGTAGTTCGTGCGACGCAGTGGCAGTCTCAGCATGAGGTTGTTACGGAGTGGTCGGGGTTGCACGTTTAGGTCAATTTGCCTCAGGATAGCCTCACAATCTATTCGTCCCTGTAGAGTGTCGGCGATAATCAAAGCTCTGCTGGTGTCCCTTCTAATCCGGAGAGGTTCAAGGTTTATCAGTTGGCAGCGACTCTCGTAGCTGGGCAGCCGAAGCGGATCTCTCCAGGGCCGTCTACGAAGCGCAAAACGAAGAAAACAACGTTGAACAGATTCGATTCTCTCGGCACCATTGTTGTAATTCGGATTCCAAACCGCAGAACAATACTCAAGCGTCGATCGTACGAGGGAGCAGTAAAGATATTTTAAGCAGTAGACATCGGTGAAATTCTTAGCTATCCTGAAGATGAATCCTAAAGTCCTAGACGGCTTATCGATGACATAAGAAATGTGTTGCATGAATGTTAGCTGTGAATCCAACAACACACCCAGGTCTTTCACCTGATTCACGCGTTCGAGTGTCGTTCTAATCAGGTCATAGCTGAATACAATCGGTTGTTTTTTTCGTGAGATCGTTATGGCAGAGCACTTTGCTGGGTTCAGTACCATTCGATTTAAAGTACACCAACTGGTGAAGACATTAAGCTGATGTTGAAGATTGTGGCAGTCAGCGATCGAGCAAATTCGTAAAAATATTTTGAGGTCGTCTGCATATGATAATCGAGGTCCTTCGATAACCAGATTCACGTCGTTGAAGTAGAGTAGAAAAATCAACGGTCCCAGGTGGCTTCCCTGCGGTATACCTGATGTGGCAAAGAAGCTAGCTGATTTGCCATCTCCTATATCAACCATAAGTTGGCGACCAGTAAGATACGAACGGAACCAACTCAAGAGATTACCGCTCACCCCAAGCCTGTCGAGTTTAGCAATCGCAATGTCAAGATTCAACTTATCGAATGCCGCGGATAGATCGGTATATATAACGTCCGTCTGTACCCGTTCAGTCATACTATCGGTAATGTAGGATGTGAGGCATAGCAGATTGGTGGTTGTAGAGCGACCGCTAGTAAACCCGTGTTGATCAGCACTCGGATACTGCTTGCTGTGAGAGAGCAAGGGTTCCATAATAACAAGCTCGAATAGTTTCGAAACAGCACTCAGCGATGTAATTCCACGATAGTTATCCACGGCTCGTTTGCTTCCCTTTTTGTGGACAGGAATCATGTGTGCAAATTTCCAGGAGGATGGAAATATGCCAGTGGAGAGGGACATACGGAATATACGGTGAAGTGGAGTTAACAAGCAAGCAATATGTTTCTTCAAAAACACGGACGGAACTCCATCGGGTCCAGGGTTGAAAGACGATTTGAGCTGCGTTGCAGCGTAAGAAATCATCTCAACGTTGACATCAATTGCACCCAGCGTTTGACCATTTAGTGGGCTGTTCCTGGCTGCGAGGGAAACATGGTCGTCACTTAGTCTCTCATCAGTGAACACACTGGCAAAATTGACAGAAAAAAGACGGCAAATATCCTGCGGAGTGGAAGCGACTTCACTGTTCAATTCCATTGACGATGGGAGGCCAGATTCTCTGCGTTGCTCGTTCACGTAGTTCGGGTGTAGTTTAAGGTTACGCTGAATACCTCGTTGAAATCGCAGAAAGCATAGACGACTGGCTCGCTGATACTCGTGATTAAGCCTCACGTAGTGATGTTTCAGAGGAAGCGTGCGATACTTCGTAAATCTTCTCAATGTTGCTCTCTTGGTCGACTTCAACCTACGCAGCTCAATCGTCTGCCAGGGAGGGTGAGAGTTTTTGCGGTGAATTCTTTTCAGGACGTGTCTGTCAATGACATATGCCAAGACATGAGAAAAAGTTTGCGCAGCATTAGCATTAGCATTAGCATCGAACAAGTTGCACAATATCGTAGGTGGTACGAATTCAAAACTATTAAGAACAATGAGAAAAAGTTTGCGCAGCGGCCTCAAAGTCGTCATGATCGAGAATGTTCTCCCAGTCCATGTTTGACAACACATCTACAATGCTTCGATGGTCGGCCTTTCGAAAGTCATAAGAAACCGCAGCAGGAAGACTATCGAAATCACGAACGAGATTGTCCTCAACAGTGACAATCAGAGGAGGGTGGTGCGGAACAAGCTTAACTAGTGGACAAGGTGCTGTGGAAATGAACGGAGCATTGTCCTGAGTGCTCACGAAGCAGAGGTCCAAACTACGGTTGTTCTCGTTGACTACGTGGTTAATTTGAGAAAGCGTTGCTACGCTATACATAGTTATCGAGAAGGCCGATAGCTCCTGCATGAAATACAGAACGTTCTGGATCTGGATAGAGGAAGCCGCTATGGGATGGTCTCCACAAAACTCCTGCTGGGTTAAAGTCCCCAAAAATGAATAGCTCATCAATTGGAGTCGCTCTTTCAATTACTGTGAAGACTGATTGACAGTGAGTTTCGATGAGTTCAAGATCATGAGGCATGTACAATGCGCACAAAAATAATGTGCGATCGCCCAGTTTAATGGCTGTCCAAACCTGTTCCACACTGTTCCACGATTCATTTTCGATTGCACTCGCCACCAATCTGGAACGGACAGCCACAAGAACGTCACCACCAGTAGATTTTCGGCTGTTGTTTGGATTCCGATCGCAACGAAAAACCTCATAATCGGATCCGAACACCTGGCTGGAAAGCGTTCGCGAATCGAGCCACGTCTCGCATAGGACAATCACATCATAGTAACGATCCGATACAGCAAGCCGGTAGTCGTCAACATCAGAATTCATTCCGCCGGCGTTTTGGAAGAAAATCACGATGTCCTGCTTGCGGCTTACAATCGAACATCTGTTCTCCCTGGAAATCACGGAAGCATCAGGCAGCGAATGAACATTAACAATACCATGCGGATACTTTCCATAGTGGGTTGGAAGACCCTCTCTCCACATCCGACTACAGGTCCGGAACGAGTATGGTGAGCGGCGGCAGCAAATGGCTGGACTGAGACGGAGGGATTGGGGGCTTCCACGAGGCTTTCTACGGCGCGTTCCAGGCTCCGAGGTACGAGAGTTGATTCGGCGGCATTCAAGGTGCTGAAATTTGGATCGGCATCAGACATTGTATTTGCGCTATTAATTATGTACTCGCCTGTTCTAGCAAGTTGGAAGACCCCCAATCCACATCTAAACTCAGGGCCAGGACGACTATGATGAACGCTGACAGGAATTAGCACGACTGAGTTAGAGGAACCGGGGGCTTCCATAAAGCTTTCCACGATGCGTCCCGGTTGAAAAACAGATTGGTTCATCCAGAGTTCAGAGTTTTGAAGGTACTGAAACATTCCAAAGAACTTCTGTGAAGTGTTATACCCCGTTCACATTACAGCATATATCACGTAATATAAGCTGTCTTGCAATGAGCACTCATACATAGGATTTCCAGTGAAAACTAGATGTATGAGTGCTCATTGCAGGACAGCGTATATCACGAGATATACGCTTTAATGTGAATTGGAGGCGAACCAGCCCAAGGCTGAAAGCCTCCTTAATAAAGCTAAATAATAATAATAATTTAATGTGAACGGGGTATTAAACGAGTTTTCAAGGTAGTTAGTACATAGAAAAATGTTGATATTTTATTAGTTTGATTTTAATGTAGGGGAAATGACTCTAATGATGGCCTATGGATCTAAGATTCGTCCCATCGCTAACAATCTGCTTTTTATCAATTTTATCTAGATGAACGTGTCATTGGGACGGTACTTATGGATATTTTTAGTCGCTATTGAAAATTTGGTCGATTGCTGAATTTATGTATGGGCCCAAATTAGGGACATTTAGGCCGACATTACATCCATTCTATGTCACTAAACCGGGAAAATTTTAAGAATTCCGGATAAAGAAAGAAAAAAAATACTAACTAGCATTGCTGGCGCAAATTTATAAATTTCTTATGCAGTTTGACATTTCGGTAAAATAACGCATTTGACCTAGTGACCTCGGCCTTATGACGTTCGGCATTATAGCATTATAACCGTTCATCATTTAAAAAAAATGGTCTCACCCTTTTACGAGACCTGGGTACGCCCATGGCTCACTCTCTCACACTGATGGTGTGTACAGAGCAGTGCTAGCAACTAATTAAACATGTGAAATATTTTGTTCCGTTGAGTATTTGTGGGAAAATATTTTCATTCGGATAACAAAATTAATGGTTGAATAAATGTAAGATTTCGAATAGTAAGTGAAAATTAAGGGCTATTAAAAATGTATCATCAATTTAATTTCGTGGAAAACCCTTGTCTCAAAGGTGAGAAATTGTTGCCTATCCATTCAATTGACGTTCCCATAAATAATTCAACCTATTTCAATCCATGATGTCAAGTCTAAGTATCACTTCGGTTCTTTCATTCACTAAGAAATATATCTCTACCACCCAAAGTGATGGTTAACACCTAATCATTTCCACGCCCACCATCAAAAGGTGACGACGATTTTAGAACGCACCGAAAACTTAACTTACCAACCAACAGCCAGCCATAGCGCAATAACTCAATTCATTCCTCCACGAGGCACTTGTCCGCAATGTCGTCCACCGATAAAATTCTCGCATGTCCAATCGTTTCGATCAACGCCCGAGTTTGGCGCTTTTGGTCCTTCATCCTGAAGCACGACTACATGCGGTACATCAGCATCCCTCCGGTTACTGTGATGACCGTGTTAATGTTCACCGATCTGTACCGGGCGTGGGGAAATATCGGTGAGGTGATCATCAACGCCTACTTTGCCGTGCTTTTCTTCAATGCTGTGGTGAGATTTGAAAGGATTTTTCCGTTATTGTCAAATCTAATATCAAAAGTTTTATTTTTAAGTTGCGAACGCTGATTCTGGTGTACTACCACGAAGAATACGAATCATTCCTCGAAAAAATTGCCGTCGTTTATAAGGAAATTGAGGTAAGTTAGAAAAGGGCTAGTTTTTGAGGGAATGAATGAAAATTTTCCCAACAGGCAATGCAGGACGACGCTATCCGAAACATGGTTGAACTTTTCACCAAGCGAGCTCGGATGATGTCAATTTCGAACCTGGCCTTGGGTGCGTTTATCAGTGCTTGCTTTGTGGTATATCCACTGTTTACCGGAGAAAGGCGGCTCCCCTACGGAATGTACATATCCGGAGTGAATCAATTCGAATCTCCTCTGTATGAGATCCTGTTTGTGACGCAAGCTGTGCTCACCTTTCCGGGATGTTGCATGTACATTCCATTCACGAGTTTCTTCGTTTCAACATCGCTGTTTGGATTGATTCAGATCAAATCACTTCAATATCGGCTGGAGAACTTTCAGCAATGTGCCGCCGGGAAATCTAATAAAGAACAGCGCTCACAGCTGGAGGCCATAATCAATGACCATCAGCGGGTTATTGCCTACGTTGGTGAACTGAACGGACTGGTAGCAAACATTTGTTTGCTAGAGCTTCTTTCGTTCGGAATGATGCTCTGTGCTTTACTGTTTTTGTTGATTGTTGTGAGTATTATTCAAAACTACACAGGGCAGATTTCTGACAATTTTCCAATACTACTCACAGATTGACCACATGGCGCAAATCATTATTGTCGTGGCATATATTTTCATGATAATCTCGCAGATTTTTGCCTTCTACTGGCATGCCAATGAAGTACGCGAGGAAAGCATGGCCATAGCCGAGGCTGCCTATAGTGGTCCGTGGGTCGAAGTGGATCAAGCGAGCAAGAAAAAGCTACTGCTAATTATCCTCCGGGCACAAGTGCCACTGGAAGTGAGTATATGCCATCCAATAGCTTCCGATATCATTCATTTTTTTTCTTCAGATCTCTGTAGGGAACGTCTATCCTATGACGTTGGAGATGTTCCAATCGCTGTTGAATGCATCCTACTCGTATTTTACCCTGCTGAGACGTGTTTATAATTAAAGATAAAAACAGACAGATTTCCATGGCTTATCAAGTGGAGAATAATTAAACCGGATTATATTGAAGCCTGACGAGTTAAATGAAAAACATAGTAGACTGGTGTCTCCATAGCAACTATTGCAATGTTCAAAGCATGTGTATTACTGTCTTATCATTTATAGAGAACGATTTGTGTCAATACAGGTTGCAGGATTTGTTTTTCAGTAGTGGAACTTTCATTTGACAGCAAGTGGAGTTTGGTCCTGGCATCCTTATATCAAATCACTCAGTTGTGCAGCGAATGGCGATGAATCAATAAATGTCATCACCAACATGAAACAGATTAGCTTTGCATTAAAAAAGAAGAAAAATATATTTGTTTCCATCAAATTCTCTTTTTTGACACCTTAAGTGAGCTCAACGTACTCAAGGAACTAGCATAAGCGAGAAACGGTTTCAAAACAAACTGCCTTGACAACCTAGGGCTTCTAGCACCACTGACAATGCAATCAAGGTAGCCGTTTGACAGTTTATGGTCGATTGGATTAAAACCATCCAAATCGGCTTTTCTCTTATCCTAGATCCAGACTAATGCAGAGCTCTAATTTTAAGACAGAAAACACCCTGGCATCAGAAGATGTTGATTGCTTCACCAAAAAGGATAACCGAAGTGAATATTCAAAATTTACATTCCACATCAAACCTTGCCACATCCAAGCAACCGCTGGTTATTCCTATAGGTTATCCTACCCCACCAATTTGAGGAGGCGAAAATATGCTCTCAAGGAAATTTCTACAGCTGCACGAAGAAGGCGACAAATTTGAATAAGAAGAATGTGACGTGAATATAAACAGAACAAGAGGAAATCGGATCAATCGACATGTAGAACGGTGCAAATTATGCTAATGGATGTGGCTTTTCTTCGCTTATTAGTATAGACTTTTGCCTCTTTTTGTGTCCTACATAACACAGTGTTTATTCAATTAAATCCAATGAAACATGTTGTAAGTGTCAATCACATTATTAAAACCATCAACTTTCGAATCTTTTGGATGCAAAAATAAATCTTGGATGCACATTTCAGCGTTCACTTGTGCAATTACATTGCATCAATCTTATTCTCGTTACGCTTAAAACGAACACCCCTAGCAGAAATGGAGTTGGAACTTTGCCTAGGTTGGAACGGAAAACTCTAGCACGAACAATAAACAACTATAAATCTCATGGTCGAAGAGGGGATCTGGATTGAATCTGAAATGGTTGAAAATATATCCAACCTTATTGTGACAGTTTTATGACTAAGATCGATGAATATTCTTTTGTGGTGTGCTTTGTGAAACTTTATTTTCAATGATAAATTTCCCGGTTTATTCACATCATCGTGTATTGATTTTGATCCAAAATGAAATAATACTATCGTTTAGTAATATCTATCAAAAAAAGGTTGAGTTTATCGATCGCAAGTGAGTGAAAATAGCATGTAAAAATAGGTTCAAAAGCCTCCCTGTCATCATCATGTCTCAAACAAGAAAGGCCGGAAGAGCTGCCACACAAATGTCAGTCATAATTTCCTGGGCAACGCTTGCTGCGAAACAGAATTTGTGGCTGAATGTGTGACGCCTAACTCCCATCCCACCTGCCAATGAGCCCGACTTTCAACGAAAATGCAACAATAACAACAATCCATCTGTTGATTTTTTATTCTTCTGGGGTCTTGGATAGCTCATTGATTATTCCTGATGATTGTTGGAGACTATTGAATAGTGGAATACCTGTTTGAATGAAGAGATATTGATTTGCAATGTACATTTAATTATTAAAATTATTGGAAATTACTAACCATTCTCTTTTTTTATAATTATTGTTTTCGTTCATATCTCAACATAAAGAGTGAAATTCACGGGAACGGGTAGAGTAAGGTGGGATAAAAGCTCGACTTTAGTTGAAAAAAGTTGGACCTTATTTTGGAAGCCAAAACCACAGACTTTTTCATACAAACGTTCATAGGTAAAATGGTTCGATTCAACTGCCGCAATGAGGCCCCTGAGTTTATCCACCTATGGTGAGATGCGACAGTGGCCCAGTATGAAAATTTAGCAATCCAAAAGTACTAGTGCTTTTTTTCTTAAGCTTTAGATGTTTGGTGTCTTCGGTAAATTTGTTTGCTTTAAAAGCTCCTCATTATGACCGGTTGTAAAATCAGGGTGTTACTAAAGTTTATTAAGATTCAAAGCCAATTGCCTTATTTTTGAAAATAGACACACTGAAATGCCTTCAAGGTTGTTGTTGATGAAGCTCTTAACGTTCTTAATTAAGAACAATTCAAACTGATCAATGCATTGTCTGTGTGCTGAAAATAGCTCGAAATGTTTTAACATGAAAGTAAGGATGCAAAGAGAAAGTCGACGAAAAGAAGCTGTCAGTGTTACTTAGAACCTAATGCATTGTTCAGCTTGAATTTTTTCAGAATTGAAATAGGCATAAGGTGTTCCAGAATAATTATGTTTCTGGGCTCTAGTTTGTTAAGCTTGTTATTCACAAAAAAGTCACCTTCAGATATCTTTTAGAGCATATTATTATGCATATATTGTCCAGAACAGTTAATCGATAATTGAAATTTTGAGAAACACTTTGTGTCAATTTTGAAAAATGCCTCTTGAATGTGAACTATAAATGAGCATGAGCATGATCTGAGAACCACTTTATCGTTTTGCTATGGAATGGCTGTATGAAGAAAGTTCTCTGAAAAGTCAGAAATACATCCGGGGAGCTTCCAAGGATGGCCAGGGAAACACGGAAACGTACTTCTGTTGTTGGACCGGTGGGGACGGGAGATTGTGCAGATGAGGTTGATCCTGCTGCGACAGCTGGCCTTGACCTCTTGAAGGTGCTGGTCAAAACTCAGCGACCGGTCAATGACAACCCCCAGCAGTTTCACAGTTTTTTTTTTCAATGGGTAAGCTTGATTACCGATCTTTATGGAAGGTCCGCAGACCTGATGCCGGTACTGGAAAACGAGGCACCGCTCTTTCCAGCAGACAGTTTGCAGCAGGAGTTTGACCTGTGGCTACGATTAGCACGTCGTCTGCGTACACGAAAATGGAGATGTTCGCTGGTAATCGCTCGAAGACACTGTTCATGGCTACCAGGAACAAAGTAACAGCGATCACTGAACCTTGAGGAACGACAGTTTCCTCGCAGAAAGTGCGGGATTTGGTATTAACCTACCGAGACTCGGAAGGATCTGCCAGTCAGGAAACTTTGGACGAAATGGTGACTGAAGCAACGTACCGCGGGCGTCCATGGTTGAAGGCTTTTGCAATGTCCAGGGAAACCAACTCCGTATGGAGACCATTATCCTTGGCATCCTCGAGGAGCTCTCCTAGCGTCACAAAATACGTGTATGTACCGTGGCTTTGCCGGAATGCGTGTTGGCGATGGTCTAGAAGGCCGCCAGACTAGAAAAACTGCTTCAGGCGTCGGTTGACCATCCGCTCGAACACCTTTGCCATGCAGCAGGTGAGCGCAATGGGTTATTTGCTTTGGGGATGGGGACAACCAAGCTCTCCCTCCAATGCTCTGGATACGAGTCTGTCTGCCAAAGCTGGTTGCAGAGTTCCACCATTTTTACTTGACCCGGGGTAGGCAGGTTCTTGAGCAGCGGGTAGCCGATCTCGTCTGTGCTGGCTGATTTCCCGTTGCTTCTACTAAGCGTGAACTGAAGCTCCTGCCAGGTGAAATCGTGGTTGATCCTCAGGTTATTCGTGTCCGGAGAAACTCGGAAACTGCTTACGGACGAAGCCGATGGGTTTGCTAGCCGTTGAAAGTTCGCCTCGTACTTGGAAATCGCAGAGAGGTCAGCGAAATAGTCGCCAAGCTTATCTACAACGATTGCGGGTTGGAGACTGGATATGCAGCCTGGCCGTTTGGCGCTTGCCACTGAGGGCCTTGACCTTACCCAAGAGCTCCGCCGAAGTCTGTGAGGCATTTATGTTTTCGAGGAAGTCCGTCCAACTGGGTCGTTTGGCATCTCGGACCAATTGGTGACACTGGTTGTGCCGTTCTCGATAGGTACAGAGCGCGTTTTCCCTATCCGGATCATCTATGGGAATCCGTTTGACTCGTCCAAGGGCTTTTCGTCGGGCCTTGACTGCCGTCTTCGTTTCTTCGTTCTACCATCTGAGGGCTTTACGCCCCGGAATGCTGCTTGTTTTTGGAATGGTTGCTGACGCAGCTGCGTTTATTGCTTCAGTGAGATTCTCGATGCTGTCAGGGTTACGGTGTTGAAGGAGCGACTGGAAGGTTTTAACGTAACTCTCCCAATCCGAGTTGCACCTGAACCGGGTAATGATCGCTACCGTAGAGGTCCGGATTGACGCTTCACTGCATTCTTCCAGCGAAGGAACGACTAACAGAAGTTACATCGATCGCCGTGGTGTGCCGTTCACTGAAAAAGGTCGGCGATCCGTCATTAAGGATGATCATATCCTTCCTTTCAAACTTGTCTACCAGTGTGGAACCTCTCGCGTCGAACCGGGGGCACCCCAGCTAGAGTGGTGGGCGTTCAAGTCACCCAAAAATATACGCGATTCAGGTAGGTTATCGAAGATGCTGTCGATTTGACCTTTGAGGTTTGCTAATCTCCCGCAGGGCAGGTATGCGCATGCTATTGCAATGTTGGCTGGTTACTCCAAGCAAACTCCCAAAATGGGAAGCTCTGAGTCAAGGTCGAACGTCTTCAGGTCCTTCAGAACCCCGATGGCGACGGAGTGTCGGAAATTGCTCCCACGTTTAACTGTCCAGCAGTATCTACCGCCCAACGAACGGTTCTTCTGCTCAACTGTTACCTTGTTTACTTCCTAGAGTGCTATCACCCAGGGAGAATTGGATTGACACAGTAGCTCCAAATCCGCTAGCTGATGCAAGAAACCGTTGATGTTCCATTGCAACAGGAACTTTATACACGGATAGAAATCTCCTTATACCTTTTGGCAAATTTCCATTGCCATTCATAAAATGT